AGCCGCTTTCTACCGTGCAGTCGGAGGAAACTACGACAATATCTTCCTACATACACCCCACGAGTCTCTATCCTTCATATATCAATCTTTGGGGTGCTTCCATTCACTCCAACCAACGTCCGATCCCTTCAAAGCCCCATCTCTTCCAGCACTACGTCCCCATGGCTTCGTCCGCTGGCAGACGATCCAGCTACTTCTGTGTCCAGACGAGCATATCATGTTTTTACAACGGGCTGTAAAGAAATTTGACATTATCAACCCATCGGGTGGATGTGTATTCCCGAAAGTCATCCCGAAAGATTCTTTCCCTTCAAAACCTGACCCGGACATGGTCAAGTGGCACGAAACCGTTAGCCAAAAACTGGAAGACGACTATAATGCGAAAGAACTAACGGGCACTTCGAGGCTTTCTGATCGCGATTTACAAAGTCGCAAAGCATGTGCCAAGTCTCAAGACGGTTTCGTGCCGGAAGAAATGCCTGACTATTTCTCTCGTCGAGGAAGTGCCAGTCAAAGGCGAATCAATTACCAGAGACAAGCACCAGCAGCAGAAGTTAGTTCCCCGTATAACATACGTTCTCATAAACGATCTGTCCCAGAATTCACCTCTCCACTCTCCACTGAACCGGAATTGAGACACGACTACATCGAAGAGGATTCAGTACCGATATATACCCGTACCAAAACCCATAGTAGACCAATTTCACGACAGAGACGCTCTCACCGTGGTCGATCATTAACGCCTTCCCCACGACGCCCGCAGACGCCATCTGAATCCTCGTCAGTGTCGGACGAGTTCGAGGAACCTGTTCGTCATTCCAGATCACCAAGCCATCCCGAGGATGAGGACGATGACTATGAAAAGTTGTTCTCCACCCGCAACTCGCATGCCAGACGCCACTCGCACGACGCCGCATACTCTTCAAGGAAAAGGTGGAATCAGTCCCCAGCACGCCGCCATCCCCAACGAGAAGACGCCATTCCACCAGATGCAAACGAGGGTTACGATTACTACCCCCGCATTCCCAAATCTGCAGAATTCCGCTCCTACCCTGATGACTTGCGGCTCGTGGACTCACTCTCCCACTCATCCCGCAGACCAAAACAGCCCCTGCCACCCCCTCCGCCAGCACTCCCCGGGGCTAAATTCCGCGAATACATCTTCGATGAGGACGGCGGATACCCCAACTCCGCCCCTGCTTCGCCCATCAATCATCAACAGCATCAACATCACCCTCTCTACTACCGCACCACCTCTTCACGAATCCCGGCAACAGCACACAACTCAGTCCACACCCACCGCCAATACATACCCAGAATGGAAGCCGATCCACCTCTCCCAACCCGCTCGCTTTCAAGCAGGCGAAAGGCAAGCGTTAGTGCCAGCGCAGGCAGCCGTAGTGGCAGCAGCTCAGAGCGAGCTCGCGCAATGTCCATAAGCGGGAAGCCACTGGTACATTTGCGCGTTAATCAAGCCATGCAGCCATTGACAAGGCGGCACTGATATTTTGAATCCCAATGGGCATGACTTAAACCGCGTTATGAACGGAGGGAATGACTCACCCCTATTCTCGCCTCTTTATTCTAGTTTGGTTGTTTGTTTTCTTACCCTCCCTTTAAACTCGCCTCTTCATGTTTGCCTTGTGGACGTTGGTGTTGCTCATGCCTTATCCTCTCATCGGCCAATTTATGGATCCCAGCTCCGAAAACAGAAGCCCTAAATAGAGCTATCTTAGTCTCTCCACGTCACGTCGGTGTTTCAGTGATCCCTTTGAATCTTTTCATTTCTTTGTCCCCTCACTCTTCTGGTGGTTTTTGACAGTACCAACATCGACGGAGTTCACGTTATCAATTTCTATTCGAGCCTTTCCCACTCCATCCGCCTTTCTTGCCTTGTTTCGTTCTGAACGGTTTTTTATCCCCCCTCCCTGACGAAATTTATGACATATCATTATGATGTAACTGAAATATATACATATATACTTATACACGTCTATGAGCATTATTTATTAAGTAATTTTCTATTTACTTTCTTGACCTGCCTGACGATGTGCTCTTATCTCATCTTCTATTTGTTAGTTATTACTGGATTATGGAATAGATATCATATTGTTATTTCGCAAATAACTTCAAGTGGCCAATAAAACATACCTTGAGGAGGGATTTTGCATCCTCCATGCCTCAATAGACCATCACAATCCAGAGGAGAGCACAACAGACGAATTATCAAAGGGGTAAATAAGTCACTATCACCTGATTCTAATTCATGTCCAATGGCTACGGCACCAAGTGATTATGAAAAAGCCACTAAAGGGGAGAGAGAGAAAAAAAAAAGGGGGGAGACAAATGTGTCCTGATATGCTCAAAAAGAAAAAAACTAACTATGCCTTCCGGAATCAAATCATAATGCATGCATCATGTTATATACTTGTAAGATGCTCCCAACCCAATGATAATTAAGTCGTTAAGCCACATCACAAGGAGGTAAACAAACAAACATAATAGAATAGATCCGTCTTATTGCCTCCAAATTCCCTTACCTAAACCCCCCCAAAAATACAAACCACCCACCAAGGAGCCTCAGCCCACATCGGAATTTCCCACCGCATTTCTCCTCTTCCATTGTTCATCATCACCCCACGATTTATTCTTCAAACTATTTA